CCTGCCCCAACCCCAATCCCAATCTAACAACAAAGAAAAACAACTTAAAGTTAATGTCGAGTTAAGGGAGGGGTAGGTGCGCAGTTGCCAAGATACTGACAGTGATTTGATAAGTAATGTGTACTGACCTGTAAGGGTGATCTGATGGTTACTATCTTCTGACCGTCTCCAGTCTCCACTTGAATCACAACTGATACAATCAAATCAGAAAGGAGCTGTAAAGAAAAGGAAATGTTACTTTCTAATTGTTCTGTCGTTCTATAATACAGTATTCATTCAGAAGTTGGCATTTAACAGTTTAGAGAGCAATCAAAGCTCCAAAAGAAAAACGTACGTTAGGAAGCAAAAAAAAAAAAAAAGGGTTGTGATTTAAATCGATACATCAAAATCAGGTTTCCGAGTAAGGACTGAAACCTTTTATTTCCGAACAATTCTCGTTCAGGTTCGGTCCTCGTGACGTACTACAAAAGTCAGGATCTAAGATGAGATCAAAGATCGTAAAAGGTCGGGACCTTATTTACCAAAAAATAATTTATTCAGCTCCAGTCTTCACTCGGAAACCTGATTTTGGATCCATCAAAGTCGCGACCCCAAAAAAGTACCCAGTAAGGTACAAAGAAATAGAAAGAAGAGTCCATTAGCAAATTATCAAACGTTGACGATTAACATAGACAGCATGAAAGATACTGAACTTCAACATGAATAAGAAAGGAACAAGTCAGTATCTGAGTCACAGCGCACCCACCCCTTCCCCAACCATACAGCATCGACTGACATCAAGCTGGGCTGATAGGGTTCATGTTTGCTTGGGTAAGGAGTAGGTGCATAGTTGCTCAAGATACTAACACTGGTCCATGAGAAATATGGTTTATAGCGTTATAAGTTTACCAGTGTCTCTGAAACAGAGACGAGTGGTTAGCATTGAAAGCCAGAATTGAGCCCAAGAAAAAGTCGAGAAAGGCAAAGTTGTTCAAAAATCACGTTTCCCCTTAGAGAGCCGTTAGTTTAGGGTACTTGCCCTTCACCTGATCTGGATCAAGATCTGTAATCAGGACCATTTCATTTATGGTGCTCATTTCTGGTAATAAAATGATCCTTTCTATCAACTGAAATGTAAGAATACTACCTAAGCATGCAAAACATTTAGGAGCACTTTTCAACTGGGTTTCGAGAGTAATCTGAGATTGCTTTGGGTTTGCTTTCATTTGCTCTCTGTTTGGTTTCGAAAACTTGTGTTCTCAACCAATGACGCAAAACTAAAACCAATCACAACTTTGTCATTTGCACTTTCCAAAATTCTGCCAGTCTGTTTTCTTTTTCTTGGAGTTCAGTTCTTCATAACTGATTCTTTTAATTGCTTTTTGACGACACTCAATCGAAATGTGCCCTAAAGAATTTAATTCAATTATTTCATTATTTCTTAAATGTTAATTATTTCAGTAGTTCTTCATCCTTACGCTTCTTAGCATAAATTTCTTTTATTTCATTGACAAAGGACATCACCTCTAAAGATTCCCACATTCAAGTCCCACATTCAAGACAACGGAAATTGTTTTTTGTTTAATTACCAGAAAAGGTATCATTACACAACATTATATTTTATTGGTTCCACTAATAATTATTATACTTAATTCCAATTTATTTTTTTCCTGTCATTGTTTAATTGTTCTTACCTTTTTTGGGATAACATTTTGCAAGATAACTCTTGCCTGTTTTATTGAGACAGGTTTCATCTCATGATAGCCTTGCACCTGATGATTTCAAAACAAGATTCATGTCAGGATTTCTTAGAATTCCAAATTTTGAGTCTTTTCCAGTTTGGTCAACGCAAACAGACAAAACGAATTTTGTTTTCGGCAATCTTTGTAACTGACACTGGATAGTTAGTGCGTTAACTCGGATTCAAACCATTTGCTGAACTTGTGTCTTTATAAAAAATTCACATCCACTGCATCTAAAAGTTTATGATTAACGGCTGTTCTTACCTCTACACCGATACTAGGTCCCCCTCCACCAGAAGTACTATTTACCCTTTCGTATCGGCTGGCTCTTTTGTGAATGCCTTTGGCAAAGCGAAGGGAAACGCTTTGACCTGGAAGCATTGTAACCATTCCATCTTGATCAACTCCACTTGCAACCTATCATGAAATAAATACACAATTATATATAATGTTAACTGAGGACGGCTAAAGCTTCAAAAGCAAACAACGATGAAGACGTTTTGTGAGTGAAAACTACCCTATGAGGGAGGCTAAAATATATCAGTTCGGTGAGATTAAAAAAACTAACACATACAAATGGGACAATTAAAAGCCAAGAACAAGGAGGGATGGTGATGGAGAATATTAAAACGGATTGCAATTAATGAACTCTAAAGAGCGCCTTTCAAATGAGTCTCGTAAAAACCAAAACCAAAGCAATCGCAGGGGCCAATCAGAAGAAAGGAAAATATCTTCAGGAGCCAATGAGAACTCAAAGTGAAAACTAGGAAACTGCCTAAAGCGCGAAAAAACGCGGGCGACAAAGTCGTGATTGGTTTCAGTTTTGCATTTAATTTGTTTTCTGGACCAATCACAGAGAGATGTTTCGCAACCGCGGACTACTTTTGACTCCGAGTTGAAAACTGCTCCAACGCAAACCCTAATAGAACTCTTTCAAAAAACATGTTTCAATGGCTATAACTTTTCTACACTAAACGTAAAACTACGACCGGATTTCTTCGATTTCCTTTGAATAGACCACTACAACCTCTAAACGGAAGCTTGGTAGCATCCGTCAAGACAAAGTTTCTTTTTCGAACTAAACTTGTTTACCAAGGCATTCACGATTTCTCAACCCGACTTACAGCAACCAACAAATTCCACCAAAAAGAAAGAGAAAAAAAGGTTCAAGAATTTGGAGCGAACAAAAAGTAGGATGACAACACACCATAAGCTGTTTTCCTGGACGAAGCTTGACTTCCATTCCAAGCTAAAAAGAAACAGAACAAGACTGTTAGTGATCTCGGTAGCAAATTAAACAAAAAATAAGAAGCTGTTGATAACAAACCTCATTCCATATCTGATAGGGCGGAACGTCTTCAATAGCTAAAACTCCTGTACCCTCCAGAGCAACAGCTTCTTTGAAAGCCTACACACATGAACAGGTACTTCAATATTCGTTAGAACAAAAATAACTTCATCATCATCATCGTTATTAGAATCGTCATCGGTCAAATTGTTACTACTATCCTTTACCGTTATTGCTATTGTCGCTATTATGTATAGTTATCAGTATCTTTTAAAGTTCTCATCATTATCGTTAACGTTTCATTGCTAGAGCTATCGTTATCGTGATTATCGTTATCATTATCATCGTTACCATCATCAACGTTATCGTTATCATCGTTATCGTGATTATCGTTATCCTCGTAATCGTAAGTACTGTTATCGTTCTCATCGTTACCGTGATTATCGTTTGAACGCTATTTTAATAATCATCACTATTATTGTCGTGATTATCGTTATCACCCCTTTTGTTATCCATGCTGTTGTAGTCTTCTACTGCGCCCTTCTTTTCTATGTCACGCAGTGATCTCCCCAAACTAAAATCCAGTCCTTTGGAAGGGGTGTTGGAAGGAAGGGGGTTGCGTGACATCCTAAAGACAGCTACAAAGGAGTGTAAAGTCCTTTTTGTTATCCTAAAAGTCATAAAAGTTTTCGTTCTGTAGAAGTTATTTTTATCACTGCGTTGCCGTTTTCAATGCCATAACTATCATTATCCAGCTAGTTTTGTACTGACCGCTCCGAGTTTAGTGAAGATGTCCAGACATGTTTTTGTTACAGTCAGCTGTAATTCATCCTTTGATTTAACTGCCAGAGTCATTGCTGCCTCTGAATTGTCGTCCAAACTGCTGCTTCCACCTCCACCATTTGCTAATGAAATCTACAATGAAAAAGGGAAACAAAATGAGGCCAGAAAAAATTTTTTTACGAGGAATTGCAGTTCCTTCCCTACGAGAATTCTACTCACATCAAAATTAACTTCCCAATGTCGATAATTGCTGTGTTCATCCTCCACCGGCTCAATAAGAGGTTCCCATTCAGACACACTCTCGTTGAAGTAGTTTCCAATAACACCGACTCCAGCATGGACTGACAACTGAAATAAATAACGAATGCAAAGTCTTATAAATCAGCCGAAGACTCCCACCATCGAACTTTGCCTCTCTTTCTATAGCATGAGACTAGGAGTATTGCCACCGCTAAACCCCCTGGAGGGGATGCTGGTCCCTTGCTGGTTACCCCCTAAGCCCCCCCCCCCCCCCCAAAATCCGTGTCAGCTTTTCGTAAGGTTTCCCTGAGAGTTCACTGGTATCCTTTCATAATCCTGAAGGGGGAAAGCAATGTAAGAGTCAACTGTCCCGCCCGTTTCTCGCAAGTCCCGATGACTTATATCTTTAAATCAAAATTTAGATAGAGAAGCAGGTTCTGTACCCTATCTAGTTCAGCTTTCAAAATTTTTAAGACAAAAACAAAACGGTTGTACGGACCAGGAAGTTACCAGGACTCTTAGGAAACGGGCCCCAGGGCCCACACTCGTGCACTCAATCTAGTGCACCAGCCAATACGGTAAAGGGTCTCCAACATAAAAAAAAGCGAAAAACAAAAAAGAAAACATAAATAGTGACATCAACAACGAAATGCCAAAGTTCAGTATAGTTATACGAAACTACACCAATTCTCTACAATAATCTCACCGAAACTCGATGACAAGAAAAATCATTTATTATATCACACAAAAGTTTAACACACAGTACGAGAAGCTTCTTTTACTCACTGCCGATGACCAGTTCTTAACTTCTCCTTGGATGGATCCGTCAACAGACAGCAGTGGAATCACTTGGCCGCCAAACAAACCCTCTAACTTGATGTCAAACCCTTCCATTTCAAAAAGCAACTGACGAAAAAAATAATATTTTAGATTGACGTTGTAAAAGATTAAAATTAAATCTGGAGGCCCCTGAATATGCCAGGGTGCCTGGTCTGGGTCAAAAATGTTTTTTGTATCAGCGGCATGGCTGGGACTTTTTTCGGAGGAGGGGGAGGCAGTTGCGGATTTAGGCGCACCGCCGGGAAACTGTCTTTTCCGCTACTCTTCCTTGTGTATCAGCAGGTAAGGGGGATGAACAATCGGTGTATATAACACTGGAAAAGATTCATGCCAGTTGGACTTTTCTGACTCACCCGATTTCGAAAATCTGAAGTTTATGTCAGTTATAGAACTATGAAAAACAAATGCCTCTCGAAGTAGGGGGAGAAGGAGCCACGGGCACTTCATGGAGCCCCTCAGCCACGCCCTTGTAAACTTACCACTTCTGTTTTATGGTACCCAGCCCCGCTGGCATTTACATGGTCAGGAGGCTTCTCCTCGCCTAGAGACAAAAGATACAATCGTTTAGGAGCGTTACTGAGAATAACAAAAAACCTTCCCAAGATAATTCATGACCGACCTTTAGCTCATCAAAGCAAGTCTGCTATCGACTCAGTTTTGTCAAATCAGTCCAAACATGAAGGAACTAGAACAAACATTCCCAAACGTACCTCCAACTTGAACCTCTTTGGGCAAGAGTCTGAGATGATACAGAGAATCCCACGTCTCATCTCCATCATCTAATTTTACATGATACTTCGGTTCGTTTGGATCAGAGGCGTCCACCTCCATCACTGTAGAACTGTAGTACCGAGGCTTGTTCTTGAACTTGGCTATGACTCTTGTTCCAGGTTTGATATCGGCTGCCTTTGGTGGCACGTCAGGTATCACTCTGTGCGATGCATCTTTCATTTCGTACACAAATTTATCTCCGTCGTACAGATCAACATGCAGTTTGGTTCCTTTGTAGGCAACAAATCCTTTGTAGTAACGTATTTTGGACGTATGTGCCCACACCACTGTGCCTACGTCTAAAATGCCTTCTGGAACTAAAGAGAGAATAGCAAGGTAAATATCACATTCTGCGAATATGACATCACTTCCGAAAGGCTCCATCTAGTGCCAACTCTTTTTGCCACACTCGGCCATTTTTTGAATTGAGTAATGGCGGGCGACCAAAAACGAAAAACAAGTTTGAAATAATCATACTTCCCGTGGGAATTTTGCGATTAAACTTGGCATGGTGTTTCTTACTTCTAGTTTCCAGAAGTGAAAAGAAAAGGCAATGCGAAATTTTGATCATAGTGGCACTCTAATTACTCAAGGACTACGGAACCAACGTCCATCCCTTTTATAATTGAACCCCTTGTATAAGAGAAACTAGCAACTAAAATATATAGGTTATTAACACAGCGGTTAATAAAATCAAGAATACGATTGCACGAGAACTTAAGAAGTGTTTAGTGTAGACCACAATTGGTTGATGGAAGAACTTAATAAATACGATTTTATGTCCTTTTCACAGCAACTTTATCCGATCATTTAAAAACAACTCTTCCGTGCTTGTAACTAAAAATAAACCTTACACCTTGCCTGGTAATTTTCTTAAAATGAAATAGCCTTTATGTTGCCTGCGAAGTTACCAGAGTCCTTCGACTCTTTTCTTCTAGAGTCCCTCTGATCATAAGATGAAATTTGTATTATTTCCTACATGTGCTAATACTGCGAATTTCGATTCAGTGTCGTCACACCGACACCAAAGTATTCAAGACAGCCAATCAAAACAGTGGATATTACCGCACGAGACTTAGGAGACGTGCAAACTGCCTGAAGCGGGAGAATGCGAGCGCTCAGTTTTTTTATGTGTGAATCTGATTGGTTGAGAAAGTAGCACGGGCATGTTTCTCGTCCAATCAGACGGTGAAGTTCAGCAAAACCAAAGCAAATCCCAGATTACTTTCGAAACTCAATTGAAAACTGCCCTAACGTGGTAGCCACATGTACCTTTGGGTTTCCTTGTCATCAAGATACGGATATTGTTGCTGTTAAAAATCCACGCGTCACCGCCATTTATGAACCTGACTCTGTAAATATCCTGTCCTGAATCGTCTAGTGTCCGAATCTGAACAATGTTTCCCGCCTCCCAAAAAACCATGTCAACTGTAGCAATAACTGTTCTACCAACAGTTAGATGGGCCGGATCTGGGATGACATCTGGTACTACTGCCGCACTGTCGTTTGCGTCCACACTGAGAGTCATCACTTCACCGATTAATCGTATCACAAGCTTCCTGTGTGTTTTGCTAGAGACAAAACTTCTCCTGTACATGTCGTCTTTGAATCTGACAAATACGATGGATGAAACTTCGATCTGCCCTTTGGGAACTAAAAGAAGAAATAAGACAGACTCTTAAATGCGCATGGTTGGTTTTAAATACAGTTTCAAGGCATGGAGTTCATTAAACTTTCACAAACAGTAAAATGCGATCTTTGTTCGCACTGAATCCGACGGAGTTAAGATCAAAGAAAAATGAAAGCAAACACCAATCTCCGATAACACTTTATGATAACTATGATATAATCCACTTACACCAAATTGCTACATGGATTCCACGAACGAAATAAACGCGCTCCGTTATTCGAGCTAACTTCGTCACTTTCCCAAGAAACACGGATAAACTAAAGTGAACCTATACAGACAACAGACCTTCAACATTGTTGGAATTATCAGCTTCAACTCTTCAAACTACTTACCTCCCGGCTTGCTGGTGGTGAGAATACGGATCTGATCTAAAGTGTCCCATTGTTCGATGCCATCCCAAAAGTCAATCAAATAGCTTTCTTTTCCATCCTCCTCTTTTCTTTCTTTCACTTTTCCCTCGACATGAGATGAAACCTTTGAACGCTTGGCCACCACACGTGTACCAACAACGAGAGCTTTAGGATCTGGATTTTTATCCACCACCATAGCAGTGATGTCATTTGGATCATAGCCCCATGGCAAGCCGCCGTCAAAGTGGACACCGATCATATGATCTGTAGCCATGTAAATATATCCCCGATCATAGAACTTGATGTTATTGAAAGATCTGGCAAGCACACGTCTCCCAGGAACAAGCTGGTCTTTAGGAACTAAAATGCAAAGCACAAACGTGATAAATTTAACCCAACCTTCAAAACACAGAGATTAAAGAAGACACGCATCTGCGTGTACTCAGGAGCTCGTACAGACAAAATCCAAACAAAGCTGTAAACAGTTATTCCCACACGTAAACTTCAGACACGAAAGACAGTTGCCACCTGATGGGTATTTGAAAAGTTCAAGAAAAATGTCATTTCCCCCAAATAGTGTCTTAAAATGTTTTTCAACTTTCTCTCGAAGGAAGCCTAAAGAACTAGCACAATAAGTTGCGATTTAGATACAGACAGCAATTTGTAAAGACGAACAAATCTGAATTTTGAATTCAAGCCTCCAACGAAACGCCTGAATAATAAAACACCACGTGGAATAGATAACTTCTTACTGACTGAGCGTGGGGGACCAACTGGGGAAAGCGGCCCGAGTTTACGAGATTTGTACAAAAAAGACCGAGGGCCAATATTTCCCAGTTTGGCTCGGGCAAGCAAAAGCTTAGTAAATAGTATATTATATGGCACTAGGAACAAACTTTTTTATTTGGAATTTACCGGCTTTTGCGAACAACAGTACACGGCAATGTAATAAAGGGTAATATTTGTTTTACCGGGGAATAAATACCACCGATCCTTAGTGGTAATTGGCTTTTCACTCCATAGGTCTACGGCGCTGTCAGTTGCCTTCTTTTCATCTTCTTCCTTCTGGAGAGAAAAAAATGGAAAGGGAAGATAACTCTAAGGATGAAACACGAGCGCTTAAAGGAATTGGCTCTTTCGTATCGGTTAATAGGTCATACAAATGGTAAATAAGGATTTTTACGGATGGTTTCCTAACCCTTTAACTGCCATGGGTGATAAAGACAGAATTTCTGCTTGGAAAATATCAATACAATATCAAGCAGACAGCTGAGGAGAATAATTAATAACTATTCATCGAAGTGGAGGTGGTTAGTAGTGGATATTTACCTCGCCGCTTCGCGGCTCGGTAAATATCCACCGCTAACCACGACACTGAGATGAATAGTTGTTTTAGTATATACTAAAACAGTGAGATAATATACACCACCGTCGTTAATTTGAGTGATTTGTTCGCTTGTCGCGGATGCAAAACGGGACGCCATTTTTTTGCCGAGTTGCTCGGAGGTAAATAGCAAAGGATATACTAACAAAGAATATCAAGAAGGCGATTCTAAGTTGATTCAATTCCAAATTCTCAGAAGTAAAGTCAGGAGAATGCATGGAGAATTAGTAATTGGATCTTGAGAGCCAAAGGGTTAAAAAAAAAAGGATTTTGGAAGTCATACAAATCTTGAAAGAACAGAGGTTCTTATCCAGGCGTGCGCGAGTCACACAAACCCTTTAAGAGGGTTCTTACAAATGGTTCGGTGCGGTAAACAAACCTTAGCTGGGGCTAACGACATCAGACATGCTGTTAATGTTCTTATCGTGGGAGGTGACACGTGTATGTAAGCCATTGCTGTTGATACGTCAAGATGCATGCTACTGCCTTCTGGTACCGAGCTTACAAAAGATATATGCGAAAGCTGAAGGACCTGTAAAAGTGAAAAATAAATAAATAAATAAAAAATAATTATTATGGGTAAAGCGTTCAAAGACCTTGTAAGGAAGAAACTTTCGATATATGAAAAGCTCACTCTCAGCAGTTTTTAGGCAGAAAGCACGGAGGGTCTCGGCTGATCTTTGGGAAAAATCACGCTTTCAGTTGAAAAAGCGTGTGACCAAGTCGAAATTTGTTGTTGTTTTGAATATGATTGGTTATGCGAGTTTTCTGGACCAATCACAAAGCAAAGTAAAGTCAACCAAAGCAACTTTGGATTACTTTGGACGCTCAAATCGCTCTATTAAGGTTCAGAATTCCAGCTGGCAGTTCGCTATTTACAAATGTGACTTAACTATTTACAAATGTGACCTCAGGAGCTCCGGGAGGTAAGTTCACTCCTCTAACCACTTTGTCACATCGCTGATCAATTCAAAAAGAACAAAGTTTTACCCTGGATTTGGTTGAGGCTCTTCTCTCCTTGTCAAACGCTGCTGAGGTAATTACAACATCTGAAACAGAACCTGACATCTTTTGTTGTCCAAAAGCCTGAATAAAGCGGAAATCTATTGTACTCTGCAAGAAAAAAAAGATAAAATGTGGAACGAACTCTTCAATTATGGTGAGAATAGAAAAACACTTAAGAATGTGTAGCTGAGTTGAGAACCCCGGGTTAACCGCCTCCCGGTTAGCTCAATGGATAGAGCGCTGGACTGTTGTGCTGGACTACAACATCAAGAAATGTTTAGATATTCTAGTCTTCTCGGATAGGGACGAATAAACGGAGGTCCCGTCTCCTGCAAGGTTTGGGGCAGGAGACGTTAATTTCTCAC